CCACAACTCTGTGCAACATGTTGCCGGTGCTGCTCCATCCAAATACTCCATCCCAGCTCAACCTGTCTACAGTATTCCTGCTCCTGTAGCTAAAGTGTCCATCCCAGTAGCCAAAATCGCCGCCCCCGTATACTACAGTGCCCCAGCGCCTAAATACGCCCCAGCACCAGCTCCAGTATACTCTAATGTAGCTGTCCCAGTACCAGTAGTAGCTAAGTACGCTTCTGTACCCAGCTATGCACCCAAAGAAGAATACGGCCCAGCTCAATACGAATTCGCCTATGTGGTGGAAGACTCCCATACTGGTGACTTCCATTCCCAGCAGGAGCACCGTGATGGAGACAAAGTAGTTGGACAGTACTCTCTGCATGAAGCTGATGGTACTGTGAGGGTGGTCAAATACTCTGATGAAGGACACGGTTTCAACGCAGTGGTGGAAAAACAAGGAACCCCAGCTGTTGCCCCAGCTTACAATAAGCTGGTTCCAGTTGCCAAATACTAAGTCGGCGCTAAGAGGAACCTGACTGCAAATTACACCAAATCAACTTAAGAATTTATTTATTTATTTCAATATATTTATTGCAAAATTTACTGTTGGTTTTTGTTCAGCCAGTCAATATTTTAGTGGTTCATTAGAAACGTTTTATTTGGACTTTCTTATGTGTTTTATAAAAAAAATGCGTTATGAGACAGAGAACGCTTCAATTTTAGCACAATTCGTGTTTAATTTGGATTTTTAAGAACACTTTTTTAGAGCTATTTTTTTGTTCGTTGAAAATATCAGATCTGTGAAATCTCCCTGTTATTTCTTGGTTTTGCAGATTTATTCGTTTCTTATTTATTTGCAATTTTGTCTTGTTACTTTTTGTTTCATTCTTTAATACATTTTTGCTTCTGGTTTGAGTTGAGTTGATGAATGTTTATAATAGGCGATTGCAAGTTTGATGTTCAGTTAAGAACGTTTTAGTTGGCTTCTTTACAATGGTTGTTTAGTTTAAGCTTTAATTTAGACTTCATGTGTTTTTCCAATAGCGTTATTTGACAGAAAAGTTTTTAATTTTAGCATGAACCATTGATTAGATTGTGCTTAATTTGGATTTTTGGGAACAAGTTTTTTTGGAGCCATAATGATCGTTGAAAAGTTCAGATCTGTGAAATTTTCCGCTGTTATTTTTTCATTTCACAGATTTATTTGTTTCTGATTTCTTGCAATTTTTCTTGTCATTTTTTTATTCTCCTTTAATAAAATTTTGCTTCTGGTTTGAGTTGAGTGGACGAATGTTCATAATAGGCGATTGCAAGTTTAGAGGTGAGTTTGAAACGTTTCAGTTCTTTTACAATGTTTGTTCAGTTTTAGCTTTTATTTGGACTTTTCATGTGTATTTTTAATAGTTTTATTAGACAGGTAAATATCTAATTTTATACCTAAGCTATTGATTAGACTGTGTTTAATGTATAACATATATTATAACATAATGACAAGTCTAAATTATAAACCAACTTTCTTTAAACGCTATGTGGATGATTGCTTAACGTGTTTACCCAAAGATAAAATTCAATATACCCTAGATAAATTCAACAATTTTCACGACACTAAAATTTACAATAGAAAACGATAAAAATCAATCAATACATTCTTTAGACATAACAGTAAATTATGATGATAATTCAGGTGAAATATAAAACAAATTGGTATACAAAAGAAGTTTGGTCAAGAAGATATCTAAACTATAATTCATATGCACCCCAAAAATATAGAAAAAGCGTAATAACTGCACTTACTATATAGAGCTATAAAATTAACACACCCAAATTACAGACAAGAAAATTTCAAAAAAAATCAGAAAAATATTACTTAATAATAACTACCCAAAAAAATTTTCTGAACCAATAATAAAGCAAAGAATTAACAAGATTTACAACTCAACTAAATATAACAATAATGAGGAACARAGAAACAATACATATATATCACTACCATATATTCCAGAAATCAATAAAAAAATTTCGAAAATACTAAAGCCACACAACATTATAATTGCGGAAAAACCAAAAAAAACAACTTATCAACTGAATGTTTCCCAAAACTAAAGCCAAAAACTGACAAAATGGATATACCAAATACTGTATATAGAGTGAACTGTTCAGAATGTCATAATACATATATAGGACAAACTAAACAATATTTAAAAAAGAGAATATACGAACATAAATATAGTCTGAGAAATACTACTGAAAATAAAACAGCATTTACACAACATGCACACCAAATGTTGCATAATTTTGATTTTGACAACGTAGATATATATTAATTAGGTAAACAAATTATCATAAATGAAGAATTCAAGAAATGATACAAATAAAAAAACATGCAAAAGCAGTAAATTTCAGATCAGATACCGACAACCTTAGCAACATTTAACAAACCCTAATAAAGCCATAAGTATGGAACACTAAGTACACTAGTGAAAAATTAAAACTATATCTGCTTATCTCAATACATGCATACCGCTCTCGCAAATGTAGAATATAATTCAGACAAATTTAAGGTTTCAAGAAGGCAAAGACCTAAAAGAACATTGATTTTTACCAATCATGAGGTAAGTTTTTCCGGTGTTTTGCTCTCCCAAAAGGAAGCATTTTTTCCCTCAAAAACTGATGAATGTTTTAATACTTTGTAAATTATAATTTTTATACAACATGTTTTAATTGTGAATTGGTGTTTGTAGTTTGTGTAAATTTTAAATCTGATGATGGCGCTGTTGTCTCGCCGAAAGGTAATGAAATAAACGATGTTCAAAATTTTTACTTCACACTTTGACTGGGACCCAGATAAGATAAGAATATCATAACAAGTATACGCAGTCAGGAAAATAAATCAGAATTTAATTTATAATTTTGGGAAAAACTTTTTTAGGAGCCATAATGATCGTTGAAAAGACCAGATCTGTGAAATCTGCCGGTGTTATTTTTTCATTTTGCAGATTTATGCGTTTCTGATTTCTTTGCAAATTTATCTTATTACTTTTTGATTCATTCTTTAATAAAATTTTGCTTGTAGTTCGAGTTGAGCTGACGAATCTTCATAATAGGCGACTGAAGTGAAGTTTGGTGGTCAGTTAGAAACATTTCATTTTGGCTTATTTACAATGTTTGTTCAGTTTTAGCTTTTATTTGGACTGCTCATGTGTTTTTTTAATAGCGTTATTAGACAGAAAAGTTTTCAATTTTAGCACTGAACTATTGATTAGATTGACAGAAACAACTTTTTTTGAGCCATAATGATCGTTGAATAGATCAGATGTGTGAAATCTTCCGGTGTTATTTTTTCATTTTGCAGTTTTATTCGTTTTTATTTTCTTTGCAATTTTTTCATTGTCACTTTGTTCATTTACTCTTTAATAAAATGTTGCTTCATGTTCGAGATGAATGAATGCCTGCTATGGCTCCGGAAAAAAAATATTACAGAAAACGTAGAAGAGCGAGAAATTCTCCGATGTTTATGTAAGAAGCAGGTAAGTCGATTCTACAATACCTTAAAGTTTGAGTTTGATGGCATCATCAAGGAATTTTTCCACAAATTTTCAAATGAGCGATGTTTATTATAGACGCTTGCAACAGGTGATCGACAGTAGTTCCGAAAAAAATAAGTTGTAGCCAAACGGAAAAGGATGCAAACTCCCAGATTTCTACATTAAATGCATAAATATCGATTCTAGGCTATCTATGAATTTCGGTTCAATGACATAATCAGAACTTTTTCCACAAATTTCCAAAATTGTCCGATGTTCATTATATACACTTGCTACAAGCGATCTGCAATGATTCGGTAAAAAATTGATTGTAGCCGAACTGGAAAAACCAACAACTCGCAGATGTGTCGATTCTATAAGTGCTTAAAGATTTATTTTGGTGGTATCTTGATGATTTATCCACAAGTATTCAAATTTAAAGATTTGCAATTGTTCCGTAAAAAAATAATTGCACGCACATTGGATAAGATAAAAACTCACAAATAATCATCGTGAAAGCCAAAAGATTTATTCTATGACACTCAAGAATTTCGTTTTCAGTAGAAAATTTACCGAAAATCTTCTAAATTGATCGGTGTTTATTATATCGGGCGATCTGCAATGATTCCGTAACAAATAAATTGCTGCCAAATTGAAGAAATTACAAGCTCACAATTCTGTAGATTGGAAGCAAAATGGCCTATGATACTAATCAGGGTTTTTTCCACAAATCTTCAAAGTTGAGCATTTGATCCAAATTGAGAAAAACCTTTAAAACTACCTTGTTTAAAAACGTGTTTGGCTTTAACATTTTTTAAACTGCGCAATATCTTGCCTTTTCTTCATTTTAAACCCTGTTGAATTACTGTGTGTGTTTTCTCACATTTTGAATCTGTTAGCTACAGTTTAATTTATGGGTCCAAACAGTTAATTTGCAATTTGGACGGTGAAAAAATCATTATTAATAAAAGCACAAAACAATCATTTTTCTGCCAGTCACTAGACAGGTTTAGTGCACCTATTTTTCATATCAGCAAATGTAATAATCAATTATAATAACATAAATAATCATAATCAAAGTAGTAAAATGGAAAATGGGATTCGTTGAATTGCATATAGATACAAATTTAAAGTGGGTTCAATATTTAATTTAAGTGTTTTGTTGAAAATGTCGACGGTTTTTCCAGTTTATTACCCTATCATAAGTTTCCCAAAAACGCTGTTTCGCCAAAGCTGTATTTTTTAACCACGTTATCACAAGTAGATATAATTTAATTCTCACTAGTAGCGTCGCTTTAATTGTTAATTGAACTTGACCAGAAAATCTCAATTGTTCATAACATCCTATTTACACCTAGAGGTCGTACCATTCCAAGTGCTTTAAAGGAGGAGACAACAAATTATTGTTCGATTTAGAGTGGACTTATCGTTGAAAAATATCGGTTATCTGTAGAGTTCTTGCTGATAATATTGTTTTGCCAGTTTTACCGCAATTATTAATACGTGATGGAGATCTGTGTTTTAGCAGAATTTAAAAGTGATACACCCAAACAGGTGAGAACCGATCGGTGAAATCACTTAAAAGGTAAGAAAATCATTAGAAAGTTTTCCTAAACATGTTATATGGTTTCTTCACTGACGCCTTTTGCCATTTATTATAAGGTGATCCCAACTGCGGTCTGTAAAAATGACAAATCAGCATTAATAGTCTCTTAATTTAACCGGCTTGACTCTTCAGTTTCTCCAAATTTGCATTTTTTTGTTGCAGAAAGTGCGAGAAAAGAAGTTATTTTAACATTAAAAGTGCGTTATTGAGTTCACTTTCAGATCATTTTACAAAAAATTCATATTTGAGTTAAATATTTTTCAACGTTTTGGAACCTGTGTCAAGAGAATCTAACAATATAAACATTACAAATCAACTACTCCGGATTTACAGTTTGATAGTAGATTCTTAAGGCTTTAAACAAAGCTTTTTTTGTTAAGTGAACTTTTTATTCGCAGTTAAAGCACTTTGAAGTTAAGAATAAGTCAGCTTTATAAATGAGCCCTTAACTTACAACTTTCCTGAGTCGTGATCCTTGTGCGGGAAAATTTCCATTGTTAATACAGTTTTCAATCCTTTTGCAATGAGTGAAAATTGGTTAAAAAACAAGACAAGTTGTTATGTCTATGACGGACTTCAATAGCTTTTATTAATAAAATATTTATTATTTATTTAAAAAATTCCTTATTTTTCAATAACGATATTTGTTCAGCTGATCTTCCTCAGTAAAAATGAAAGCCGTTTTTTCCGTATCACTGCTACTGGGATTTTTCATGACTCAGTCAGCCCATGCAGGAATTCTACAGGCGAAAAGCTCGCAAACTCGAGAAGTCCTCAGTTTGGACGGCTTATGGTACTTTACTATGAATGCAAGTTTAGTGTCTACAATCGAAGAAGTAAGCCTTAGATACTCAATTTCACAGGCTTTAAATATTTTTTTACATATTCAGGCCACTGATGTAGATCTGAATTTAATGCCAGTACCATCCAGCTACAACGACATTTCCACTAAACTGAGCGTCAGAGATCATGTGGGGGCTGTATGGTATAAACGGACGTTTTTCGTTCCCTCCTCATGGAATGATAAAAAAGTCTGGATTAGGTTTGGTTCCGTTTGCTATAATGCATCAGTGGTAAGTTACTCATCAAACTCATTTGAAGAGGTCCATGTGTGAATTAACGCAGTTTTAAGCTATGAAGCGCAGACGAAGCACCTTTCTTCTTCAAGTTCACTGACTAACCCAAACATAAGTTTTGGTAAATAACAATCATAAGAAGTGATTTAACACATAACTCAAAAAACATCCGAGGGAATACTGATGTATGCTGTTCACTCTTTTTAGACTTCCTGTAATTTCATTTTGTGGTTGAACATTTCGCTACGAAGGCTTTTCAACGTTATTGAATTACCGAGTAGGAAGGAATAGCTGAAGAATTATGCATCTATTATTTGTCCCTTCCATTCGTAGAAATCTTCATTTTTTTCCATTGTCTTGTCGAGTAAAGACACTGACTGCTCTTATTTTATTAGCGGCTTCTTTGAATAGATGGTTATGCAATATAAGATAGCACAAGCGTGCGCAATTTTCTCCCATAGTTTATTCCATGCCATTCAATATTATTAGCGGGAATTGGTGAACATTGTGTGAATACACTGAAGAAGGATTTGTTAGGTTTTGTGTTAACTTCAAATGGTTTCTTATGCTTACGACAATTAATTGATTCTAGACTATAAATGATGAAGTTGCTGTAACCCACAGTATTGGCCATCTTCCATTTGCAGCAGAAATTTCTTCATTACTGAAATTTGGAAGGGAAAATTCAATAATTGTGGAGGTAAACAATATTCTGACATCGACAACTATTCCGCAAGGAAACGTGGAAACCCTTATCAGGTATTTATGGGAAATAAAAATTTTATTGCGCTTTTGCCTTTTTTTTTGAACCATTCATATGTTTTGTTGTTTCCAAATGTAACATTAAACTTTTTTTCTGGCATTAAACACAAGAGAAAACGAGCTCAGAACGGGAAGCGTGCGGCATTTAGAAGTAGAATTGGAAATTTTTTTTTGCTCTGTCTAAGAATCATGTTAAAACAGTCAAAAGCTAAAGGGGCAAAAGTACATTTAATAAATTTGCTGGATTAATCAACTTCTTAGTGTATTTCAAAATCTCTCGCTTTATTTTCCAGTGGCCGAGAGAAGCAATTTTTCAATTTCGACTTCTTCAATTATGCGGGCATTGATCGGCCCGTACTCCTCTACTCTACAAATGACGCTTATGTAGATGATATCGACATTAAGACTGATCAAAGCGGGAAAGATGGTATTCAATGCGTGGATTTTTACGTTTTAAACACTTCACATTTTTTATCGCTGCAGGTTTGGTCTCGTATGAACTAGCACTGGTTGGACTTGACCCTTCTACCAGCTTGGAAGTGAACATCTTGGACAAACGTGGCGATGTTGTTGCTTTGAGTAACGAAGCTGCGGACACTTTAATAGTGGAAGACGCTCAACTGTGGTGGCCTTATCTAATGGACCCGAACCCTGGCTATTTGTATACCTTAGAAGTAGGAAAATAGCCAAAAATTTCCCAACAATTCCATAATCTTTAAACGTCCTGTATAGGTTCTCATCAAACGCGGTGAAGAATTAGTAGATCACTACAAGCAACCGTTTGGAATAAGACATCTGGAGTACACCAGCGACCAATTCACGATAAACGGCAGAAACATCTACATCAGAGGTAGCTGGCTTAAACATACCTCCTTCCAACTGACTTTGGTTAAATCTCTACAGGATTCAGCAGGCATGAAGATTCAGATATTCGGGGAAAAGGTCTGGATTTGCCACTGATCATTCGCGATCACAGTTTGATCAAATGGATCGGCGCCAACTGCTACCGAACTTCTCACTATCCATATGCAGATGAAATCATGGACTTGGCCGACCAATTGGGAATAATGATCATTGATGAGGTACCAGCAGTCGATACAGAGTGAGTCGCTCCTTGACTAGTAAAGCTATTGATTAATTCCGATGTGATAAGGAAGTTTGAAAAGCCCGAATAAATTTCGCGAATTTATGCGCCTCTTGAAACGAGATGATGTGCTTGGGATTCGACTTCGGCAAATAACTCTATTTAACTTCGTTATCATACTGAGCCACCTCTCTCAAATATTCTAATTCATTAGAAAGGTCGCATCCTCGCGGCGTATTGATCTTGAGACTTTCTGAGGGGCGAATTTAGAATATTAAAAGGAGTTTCGTGATTTTCGCTTATCGATGGGGTCACGTGCGGTTTTTTATTTGAACAGATTCTTTTCATAGCTTTTAGCACATTGATGTTTCCCCAAAAGGTTCAACTGAGAGAAAACAGTGTCTTTTTTACTTTAACTACCAGGCTAAAATTGAGAGGAATTTTGGACTTGCTGCTATTGGAATATGCTTTTAAATAAATACCGAAAGTTGCTATTGCAACTGCCGAAAAAAAGGTTTATCTTGTCTTTCATAAAAATGCAAAATGTATTGCATGAATTTGTGGGAGAAATTATGTTGACACTTTTTCAGGCGTTGTTCTTTCTTTTCTGTTTGAAATTGGAAGTATCTGCAAAAAATCAACGATATTTTGCTATGGTTTTCTTAAGCCTTATGATTTTAATCAGGACAAATGATCTCCCGACTTATTTTCAAATAGTTGAGTTTATTACTCATCCCAAAATGTCTTTATTTTGTATATATAATTTTGCATTTTTACAAAGTAAATAAAAAATATATTGTCGCAAATGGTTTACTGACATAAATGTTTTCAAACTATTTTTTTCTATTTCTGCTGCTGCCCAAGCTTCATTTTCTATTTTTTCTGCTCCTTTCAGCGATTTCAACGATGAACTTATGGAAAACCATAAACAGTCTCTTACTGAACTGCATCGGAGGGATAAAAATCGTCCTGCTGTAGTGATTTGGTCGATTTCCAATGAACCAGTAACACAGAAAAATGAGTCTGAAGCATATTTCAGGTAAATATAAGTTTAAAAATGTATACGCAGTCTAAAAAAAATATGCACAAAAATTGTCACACAATATAGTTTATTTGATGATTTGTTCGCAATAACAGTATGTATTGCTTATCACTCTCAAGTTATTTAATTAATCTTTTTTTCTTCTTCTTGACGTGAAAACAAAACATTGAATTTATTTTTCTTGAAAACCCATAAATTCGTCCTTGCGTTTTTTAAGATGGACTTCCGCTTTTTGAGGCAATAAAATTGAGCAAATAGAATGATATTTTTCTCAATTATGAAAGCAATTAGAACAATATGCACAGATATACATTTTTGGGGCATGTTTTTAGGCAAATTGCGGCGCACATTAAAAGTCTAGACACTTCAAGGCCCATTACCATTGCAAATGCGGCCCAATTTGATGTAGAACATTCTGTAAGTTTTCGAGCTCTTTGATAACTAGTAATGTTGCTTTCATCCAAACAGGGAATGGCAAAATACATCCTTTTTTGTTTTTCGCAAGTGTGGATGAATCATATAACTATTGGGGGAATTCGAAAATAAATTGAGACTTAATGAGTAAAAAAATATCAAAGCTGAATTCGATTGGCCTGTATTATTAATAACAGAGAAGTGGCAGCTCATATGAAAAGTTTGGATGCTTCCAGGCCCATCACCATTGCTAACATGTAGTCATTCAATGTTGAACATTCTGTAAGTGTGTTCATATAATAATCATCAATATACTTTTACATCAATTTGTTTTTAACAACATCTGAGCTTTTTAGATGCAAACTAGAGAAATATTTACTGGTAAAGGATTGAAAAATTATTCGTAATTTTTTTTTATCTGCCTTATGCAAATCATACAAAAAAATCATACTTCTAGCTCGGTTTATTCATTTCGACCTGCTTATCGTAAAATACTTGTTTAAAATCAATCAGCTTGTTGCTCTTAAACTCAGTGTTTTGTATAGACCAAATCACGCCGACTTCTCTGAGTTTTTGCGAAAAACATCAGTAATGTTGCGGTAGAATTTCTCAGAAATGGTGAGTTTATTATTCTGCAGGGGCAATTTTTGGACATCCTAGGCGTAAACCGATACGAAGGCTGGTACCAAAATGTGGGGCAACTGGATGGAATCTATCAAAGAATTATCGAATACGCCACAGCATGGCATGATTTGCACAATAAGCCGGTTTTGATCACTGAATATGGAGCAGATGCTGAAGAAGGTTTGAGTTATGTAAGTGCTTGTGTATGAAGAACTACTTAGGACTAAATGGTAATTTTTACAAATTCATTTTTAAAGCTGCCTACATACATTTGGTCCGAAGAGTTCCAGAACGACGTAATGTCCGAGTATTTCAAAGCGTTTGATGAACTGAGGAAAGAGAGCTGGTTCATTGGGGAGTTGATATGGAACTTTGCAGACTTCAGAACCGACCAAGGTGGACAGCAGTTAATAATCCCCAACTTGGGGCTTTATTATTGTTTTCTTCAGACATTAGGAGAGTGGGTGGAAACAAAAAGGGCATTTTTACCCGAAGTCGACAGCCAAAACAATCGGCCTTCCTGATGCGGAAGAGATACTGGCAGTTGGCCTATGAATTGGACAACGCCACTTTGCCTGATGATTTGGATCCGTACACTAGTGATGCTGCCAAACTCAAGAAAAAGGTGAATGTTGATGAATTGTAAATTAAATAAAAGAGTTCAAATTGGGCCAATGCAGTTTCTTTTTCGGAAGGTAGAGGGGCGAATGAAATGCTTCGAATTCAGTGTTATGTACACAATAATGATAGCGACAATATATCAAACAGCCAACTTTTAAAAGAGTTAATTAACTCGATGGTGATTAAACCTTAAAGTAAAGTGGTGCAATGTCGACTTAATAGCAACTTGGCGTGCTATTTGCGCTCATCAAGTTATACATAATATAATTAAATAAAAGTGATCTCGGTATGTGGTCTCATCAAAAACCAACACTAATGCAGACAAAAAACTAATTATTCACAATAAGCCATGTCAGCACCAACAATACACCAAATTAAATTTCCAGTGCGGCATATAAGCGCGTTGTTTTAGACCGTTGGGATGGTCGATCGAAAAAGTCGATTTAATTAAATTTGACTCGGCACAATACGAAAGCGATGCGGCTTTTTTCGACCAAAAATTAATCGGGAATTATTACGGCCATAAGTGATTGATGCCCGAGTCGTTTCTGCCTTAAGGGAACGACTTATTTGCGAATCACTATCCTACGCAAAGTATCGATAAATCGATAAATGGAAAATGCTACCCAGAGAGCTTTGTTTCCTATTGATCTTCAGCTGCTCCTTTCTAGTCATGTTTGTCCCCTTTTTTGACTAAAGAAGTTTCTTTTACTTAAGTTGCTTCGTTACTTGTTCATCCTGATTGCGGTAAGAATAATATTTGTGTTAAATGAAAGAACAAAAAAAACTTCCTGCATTGCATTAGAAGCATGAAAAAGCTGTTCTTTAGCCTCGGACATTCGGTGAGATCAAATGGCATAATGTTATGCAAAACAGTAGCGTTATGCTGGTGCTGGACGCTTCTACCCAAATGCATGCAATATTTCGTTCATTCCGGAGACATCTAGACTCAATTTAGTACTCACATAGTGGTTTAAAGTTTTCCGGCTAAACTAAACAAAGATTCAGTAAGTTTTTCGCCCCAAAATGGGCCACAAAGTGAAACTGGTCAAGGCTCACTTTTTGAAGAAAATTATTTTCTTTTCAAAAATTGAAGAACAAACACGTTTCCATGCAATATTTCGTGCATTCCGGAGACATCTAGACGTAATTTAGTACTCACATAGTAGTTTGAGTTTTCCGGTTAAACTAAAAAAAAATCAGTAACTTTTTCGCCCCAAAATGGGCCACAAAGTGAAACTAGTCAAGCCTCATTTTTTGAAGAAAATTATTATTTTTTAAAATTCAAGAACAAACACGTTCCCATGCAATATTTCGTTCATTCCGGAGACATCTAGACACAATTTAGTACTCACATAGTGATTTGAAGTTTTCCGGCTAAACTAAAAAAAAATCAGTAACTTTTTCGCCCCACAATGGACCACAAAGTGAAACTGGTCAAGCCTCACTTTATGAAGAAAATTATTTTCTTTTCAAAAATTGAAAAACAAACACGTTTTGAAAACAATCTGAAACAACTGATCGGTTCGATACAGATTTTAAACGTTTCTTTATTCAGAATGAATTTTTACTTCCGCCTTCAAAAGGTGTCTTCTAGAGATTAAAATATTATTAATGGAACAAATAGTGAAAAATCCCAAAATTTACTCCTTTTCACATTCTCCGAATTTTTTTTAAAAGCTTATATATTTTAGCAACATTTATTAAAGCGTAATAAGAAAAAGTCTTTCAATAACATTTAGCGCTACACTTGTAATTAAAACATCCTGTTTTAAACGAATGTGGTCGCAAATCTTAACTCTTGAATTTAACAAACCACATGGAAAACAACCAGCTATTTATCTCGGTTGACCTCGCAAGATTAAAATAAGTAACGATAACAGATAAACAAGTTTGTGCCTGTTTATATAGTTTTACAACCATTAAATCTTAAAGACATACATTTGCTTAGCAAAGTTTACCGACCGAAAACTATTTACCTTCTTATTCTTCTGACATTTCGAAAGGACGCTGTACCGCAGATGTGAAAAGAAAACCTTCGGTACTAAACTGAAACTCAAATAAACCACTCGTACCTTTTATAGACCTAAAGTAGCAAGTCAAATATTGATTGTTGATAGAATACACTTAGCTCTAAGACATGGGGGAATGTTTAGTTTAGGAAATTAACTCAACCTTTGACAAATCCGGTTTTGTTCTGTTCGAGTTTTTGGACAATAATCAGTGAAATGGGCAGATGAGTTTGCAGGAATTTATAATTGTTAGAAGAAAATTAAGAGCGGGTACGATGCTTAGAAAGACAAGAAAAAGGCTTTACATGCTGTTGCTTTCAGGTATGCAACTTTTCATCTTAAACAATCAATTTCTGCAAAGTGTTTTCATTATTTCCAGCTTATGCTCTTCTGCAGGCGCTAGTAGATGAACCGTTATATCGAATTTACACTTCGACAATAGTTTCAACAAGCAAAAAACTAATAAAACACTAAACAAATGCTGGATAATTCTGGAAAAAGCGACAACAATTCGAGCAACACGCAACTCTGGTAATTACAGGATGTCACGACTAGTGCATTTTTCATTATATTTGTGACGGCTTAGGCCCCGGTGCATTAATTCGTGGACGTCCGCGGGGTCCCTGATAATCATTTATTTAAACATTCATAACATCAGAACGGTCCGAATTAATATTTATGCAAATACGAGAGCAACCGATGCGGCAATACTCGTCATCATGTAGACACTGGAATTAATTTTTAATTATTACTATTTGTTTAAATTTACCCAGCCGTGCGGATTTTATTGGCGTGATTAATTGGGCCTTTTGTTAAGGATATTATGTTAATTTCTGCCAGGTGTAAGATTCGAGGGTCTTGAAAAATACCTATTTTTTTTATTGAATTTTGCCAACTCGATTTTTCTTTACCATTATGAATTATGCGTATAAATTATATGCGTTATTTTAAGAACTAAAAAATTAGAATTATGTAAACGTTTTCTCTTCTGACCCAGTTTGGGATTTTTTGAAAATTTACTCTTTAAATTACGTCAATCGTTTTTACGTCTAGAAAAGACATAATCTGTAATAAAGCCAGATCTTCTGCATGTTCTGATGCTTTTCTTTATATAATTGCACAACATTATTATTTAATTGTTTAAGTTGCTATTTTAAAACGTTTCTAGGCCAAACAAAAAACAGGTATTCACCTAATTCAAATAGAAAATTAATTAGGAAAAATAAAGAAGCGAGAAGATTATTTCAACATTCAATGGACAATAAAAGATGCTTTTGCCGTACTACGGCTTTAAAATTTGTGTTGAATGTTGAATAATAGAAATGGTCAGGTGGAGGACATCTGGGCGAAACAAATATCAATAATTCCAGAAATCCATCTTCATTATGTGCTTAGGGGTTGTACTTGAATACAATGCATGAACCACCTAAACTAAAATTGGAAACACATGTGGAACAGGGCGAACAATTGCTAAGCCTTGACAATATTTTTAAGAAGAAATGAAGAATGAAACAGGATAATGTCTTTTTCTCAATATATTTATTTCTTAGTTTTATTGTGTTAAATTTCAACCTTCAAGTGTAATTTAGTTTTCATTGCAGTCACTGTCGAAATGTCTAGTGACCGAATAAATAAACGAGTTGCTTGAAAAGCTACTAAAACTCCTAGCAAATGGTTCAGCTCGGATGGCAAGACGGAGACAAAGAAACCGGTTTAAAGGGAATTGATAACCTTCCTTGTTTGCATGAAGGACACCAAAGGTTTGAAGCTCAATTGTGTTTAATTGTGAAGTTTTCGTGAAAGAAAACCACCCAAATAAGTACAATGGAATTAAAAGTTGAATAGTGGAGGAAAATCACACTTACTTGGAAATGGCTAATAAACTAGGTAATAAAAAGCTAAAGATGCTGCAATTAAGGAAATAAACAGTTCTCAGGGTATTCAGGTATATTTAGTTTTCCATTTGCTTCGATTGTGAGTTCTTCTATAAAAAATCTAAATATTTCAATTTTTACCAATACAGTTTCTAATACTAATGTTCAAGTTCTAGTGACAAATCAAATATTCGTAGAATATCTCAACCAGGTACCATTCAGGAATATCAAAATAATAACAAGCAAACCCAAATAAAATTGAAGGGGAGAAAAATTAAGATTTTTTGATCAATTTTCTACCATTTGGTAGCTGGTGGCTCCAGGTGAGTTCAGCAATTGTAATTTATCAATGGTAAATTCATACTTACTACAATTTTCTTTGATTTGATTTATTGAAAAATATTCACAAATAACAGTAAAAAAACAAGCAGCAACTAAATAAAACACAGTAAGCGATACCAATAAGAAAGGAGAAAAGAATTAACGGTTTAAGAACTTAGAAATTAAATAGATTGACGGTGATAAGGCCAAAAAAAATGAGCGGTTTTTCTAAAATAAAAACTGAACAACAGGAAAGAAATTTTCAAATATTTGATACACCGTTTTTTGACTAAAAATTTTCTATCGCCCGGATTCGACCAATTCTGCCTTGAGCTAATGAGTTTAGCTTCAATTTCTCTCTATTGAATCCAGTCTATGGATTTTTTTAAATCGTTTTTATGAGTGTATATTCAAGTTTATTAGCAGCAAAATTTGGCCATTCAAAGAAGATTCAAAAAAAGTAATCAATGCACTTCTGATCATACATCAGGCTTCTTCGCCCCTCAAAGCCCACGACATGAAAATCGTGCGCACCGATAAAACAAACCTTTGGATAGTATCCCCTATCCATTCCATCTTCCATTAATATTGGATGATCCCGATTGAGTAGTCGGCTGCCAACTATATCGGATTCGACTGGATGGATGTCATTTGCATGTACGAGTAGATAGCGGCTGATCCTCCATAGGCCCATACACTTCCTTCCGAATTTGATGTATTTAAATTGGAGCAGATTAGGTTTTTGTTAAGGAAAAATACTCTATCCCAACTCTGTATTTATTCAATCTGGCTTTGTGAAATGGTTGGTGCTTAGGAGATATCAGGCAATTTTTTACAAGCAA